TTCGGCTTCTTCCCCTGGAACAGCTACGCCGTGCTGCGGCGCTATGAAAACAAGCCCTACTTCCCGCCACGCATCCTGGGCCTGGAGAAGAGCGACAGCTACATCCAGTACGACCTGCCGCAGCTCATGGTGCTCTTCTTTCATCGCGCCCAGCTGCTGGTGAGCGCACGCGCCGCGCAGGGCTGCTGCCTCCCGCGCACACACACATGGGCACACAGCACACAGGGCCGCTGCCTCTCGCACACACACACACATGCGGGCACACAGCACACACGGCCGCGCACACGCCCAGCCACCTTGCTCCGAGGCAGGCCGGATGCCATGAGGCCCAGTGTGGGCTTGGCCACCTCACCCGCGCCATGTGCTGCCCAGCGCTGCCACGCCGGCCTCCTCACCAGCCCTGTACATCCCTCCACAGTGCTATGGCCTCTGGGATCACGACGAGGACCCTGTCCCGAAGGAGCGTGACAGGGGTGGTGGGAAGGACAAGGCGGCTGAGGAGGAGCCGGCCCTGCTGGGACCCCAGGGGGAGCCAGGGGTGGCCAGGGCCCCCACTGAGGACGACATCCCAGTGGAAGCAAAGGACGGGTCCCCAGAGCCCCGTGACGAGAGGCGCGTCAGCCTGCGTCTCAGGAAGAGAAGGAAGGAGAGCACAGGACCCAGAGGACGGGAAGCCACTGGTACGAGGGCCCGGCCACGTGCAGCCATCGCGGCCCACCTGGTGGAGCCACTGCCCAGCAGCGTCCCTGATGGCCACTGCTGGTGACCCTCAGTGGGGGGAGGGGGTCCCTGCACTCAGTCCGGTCTGTGAGGGGGGGCAATAGCAGCCCCTGTGGGGTCTGAGCCGGGCCCAGCCCGTACCATGGGCTCCGTCAGCAGCGGCTGCTCCCCCCCCACCCCGCCCAGAAAGCGAGGACGACAAGGAGGTGGGAGCAGAGGCGGCGGCTGCAGAGAGCGAGGAGAGGCAGAGCCGCCACTGCACAAGAGTGAGGGCCCTGGGGCTCCGGCTGCAGAGCTTCTGCCTGTCCCTGTGAGTGACCCGGCCCGGAGCGCCCAGGCCAGGGTGGGTGGGAGGAGTGGGGCCTGGACTGAGGCCACTCGCCTGCAGGGCCTGGAGCGTGTACTGGCCTGTAAGGCGCTTCTTCCACGACATTCTGCACACTAAGTACCGCGCGGCCACCGACGTCTATGCTCTCATGTTCCTGGCCGACGTCGTCGACTTCGTCATCATCATGTTCGGATTCTGGGCCTTTGGGGTGAGTTGGGTCTCAGGGCCCCCACGAGCATAGCCCCACATCTGCGGCCACGCCCCTGACCTCTGCTCTCCCGGCCACAGAAGCACTCGGCGGCCACAGCCATCACGTCCTCCCTGTCAGACGACCAGGTGCCGGAGGCCTTCTTGGTCATGCTGCTGATCCAGTTCGGCACCATGGTCGTCGACCGCGCCCTCTACCTGCGCAAGACCGTGCTGGGCAAGCTGGCCTTCCAGGTGGTCCTGGTGCTGGCTGTGCACCTGTGGATGTTCTTCATCCTGCCCGCCGTCACCGAGCGGTAGGTGCCGGGGCTCCCCGCTGTCACCGAGCGGTAGGTGCCGGGGCGGGGACCGTGGAGCTCCGGCCTCACAACAGGCACCTGCCCCGGCTCCTGTCCCATCCAGCATGTTCAGCCAGAACGCGGTGGCCCAACTGTGGTACTTCGTCAAGTGCATCTACTTCGCCCTGTCCGCCTACCAGATCCGCTGCGGCTACCCCACCCGCATCCTCGGCAACTTCCTCACCAAGAAGTACAACCACCTGAACCTCTTCCTCTTCCAGGGGTGAGTGTGGCCGGCCTGGGCACCTGCGGCAGGGCTGCCCTCCCCACCGGCCCTCCTGACGGTGCCCCGGTATCCGGCAGGTTCCGGCTGGTACCATTCCTGGTGGAGCTGCGGGCTGTGATGGACTGGGTATGGACGGACACCACGCTGTCCCTGTCCAACTGGATGTGCGTGGAGGACATCTATGCCAACATCTTCATCATCAAGTGTAGCCGAGAGATGGAAAAGGTGCCCGGGCCCTGGGGTGGGGGTAGCAGGGGACTCCCCACTGGGGTCCCTCCTGGGGTTCACAGCCCAGGAAACATGAGTCCCGAGAGCATCATCCTAAAAACTTCCTGGAGGCCAGAAGGGGCTTCTTCGAGGGGACAGTGAATGTGGCCGTGTTGGGGTGGCCAACCACAGAGGGGCCTGAGCAGACGCCGGGCAGGAGAGGCCTGGCTTCTTGGGCCCTGGTCCACTAGCACGGGTCGTGGTGTGGGCACTAAAATGTTAATTGGGTTTTCGTGCTTTTTTTTTTTTTTTTAGCAGTTTTATTGATAAAATTCACACACCCCGTTTGGTGGTTTCTAGTCTATCAGACTGAGGCAACCGTCAGCACAGTCAATTTAAGATAGTGCCCATCATCCGGGGAGAAGCCCCACTCCCACTAGCAGTCAGTCCCCAGCCCCGGCCCCTGTTCGTCTTCTACACGGATGTGCCTGTGCCTGTGGTGCCGTTTACATGGAGTCACGGGACGCGTGGCCTTCCGCGACTGGACTTCACGCTTCTCTCAGCGTGACGTGGCCTAGGACACCTTTTGGGTGCCCTAAAAAACGCCCCCATGGCCATTCACGTCCAGAACCGTGGCCACAGGCCCCCTTTTCTCCCGGGTGCACACCCAGGAGTGGAACTGCCGCGTGGGTGTTGCCTGGCGGGGGCACCATCCTACCTGCCCACGTGTTACTGTGTGATCTCGCCGGTCCTGGTAGGGGTGAAGCGGTGTCTCACTGCAGTTCTGCTTGCATTTCCTGGTGACTAATAACGTCGAGCATCTTTTCCTGTGCTTGTCGGTCACTCGTGTGTCACCTTTGGGGAGACGTCCGCTCACATGTCTTGCCGGCTTTTTCTTGGGTGGTTTCTATTGCTGTGAGAGTTCTTTGTGTATCCCGAACACTAGATGCTTCTCAGAGAGGTTTGCCCCAAAGGCTTTTCCCGTTTTAGGTCTTAGGTTCCAGTTCACTTTTGCCGAGGGTTTAAGGGCCCAGCGTGACTCTTCAGCACGTGGGTGTCCAGCCGCCCCTCTGCAGAGTCGCAGAGGAAAGGTCTGTTTCTGGCTCTGGGCTCTACTCCCCGGTCCCCACTGTCTTCACTGCCACGGCTTCAGTTTCAGTGCTCAGTCAAGGCGGAGCCTGAGACCACGGCGCCCGCCGCCACAGAGCAGGGAGGCAGGCTGCTCGGCACGGCGCAGAGCCGCACTGGGTGACCTGTACTGCCCCACGCCCCCCCACCCCCAGAAATACCCCCAGCCCAAGGGGCAGAAGAAGAAGAAGGTCGTCAAGTACGGTATGGGCGGCCTCATCATCCTGTTCCTCGTGGCCATCATCTGGTTCCCGCTGCTCTTCATGTCCCTCGTGCGGTCCGTGGTCGGCGTCGTCAACCAGCCCACTGACGTCACCGTCACCCTCAAGCTGGGTGGCTACGAGGTGAGCGGCCCCTGCCCGGGAGACGAGCTCGCCCTCCTGTGGCTGCTGGTGGCCTGGGGCGGGGGCTCCCGTAGCGCCACGTCACCGTGTCTCCACCGCCAGCCCCTGTTCACCATGAGCGCCCAGCAGCCGTCCATCGTGCCCTTCACGCACCAGGCCTACGAGGAGCTGTCCAAGCAGTTTGACCCCCACCCGGTGAGTGCCCCCAAACGCAAACGCCGGGATGGGAGGGGGCCTGGCTGCGCCCCGCTGAGGTGCCGCCCTCTGCGCAGCTGGCCATGCAGTTCATCAGCCAGTACAGCCCTGAGGACATCGTCACGGCGCAGATCGAGGGGAGCTCCGGGGCCCTTTGGCGCATCAGCCCACCAAGCCGGGCGCAGATGAAACGGGAACTGTACAACGGCACTGCCGACATCACCCTGCGCTTCACCTGGAACTTCCAGAGGTGCGTCCCGGGACAGGAGCGGCCGGGCGGGGGGGGGGGGCACGCCCATGGGGGTCACACCTCGTGCTGTCGTAGGGACCTAGCCAAGGGCGGCACGGTGGAGTACACCAACGAGAAGCACACCCTGGGCCTGGCCCCCAACAGCACCGCCCGGAGGCAGCTGGCCAGCCTGCTGGAGGGCACCTCAGACCAGTCCGTGTGAGTGGGGCCTGGGGGCCGGGGGGCTGCGCGAGGGCTGGGCTGGGCCTGACCTGCCGGCCTCCTCCCGCAGGGTCATCCCCCACCTCTTCCCCAAGTACATCCGTGCCCCCAACGGGCCTGAAGCCAACCCCGTGAAGCAGCTGCAGCCCAGTGAGTGGGGCGGGGGTGCCAGGGCGGGGGTGCCGGCCGTGGCCTCGGCCCCGGACGGGGCGGTGGCCTGATGCCTCCTGGTTCCGACCCAGACGAGGAGGCCGACTACCTGGGCGTGCGCATCCACCTGCGCAGGGAGCGCGTGGGCTCGGGGGCGGCTGGCTTCCTCGAGTGGTGGGTCATCGAGCTGCAGGACTGCCAGGCTGACTGCAACCTGCTGCCCATGGTCATCTTCAGCGACAAGGTCAGCCCGCCCAGCCTGGGCTTCCTGGCCGGCTACGGGTGAGTGCGGCGGGGCCGGGGTGCGGGCTTGGGGTACGGGCCAGGCCGTAGCCCCGACGCTCACTCACCGCCCACCTGCAGCATCATGGGGCTGTACGTGTCCATCGTGCTGGTCATCGGCAAGTTCGTGCGCGGCTTCTTCAGCGAGATCTCGCACTCCATCATGTTTGAGGAGCTGCCGTGCGTGGACCGCATCCTCAAGCTGTGCCAGGACATCTTCCTGGTGCGGGAGACTCGGGAGCTGGAGCTGGAGGAGGAGCTGTACGCCAAACTCATCTTCCTGTACCGCTCGCCCGAGACGTTGATCGCGTGGACGCGCGACAAGGACTAGGGACGCCCCGGCCCGGCGCAGGACTGCTGTCTCTTACCGTCCTCCCTGTGGGGCCCGGCGGCCCGGCACCCCCTGCCCACTCGTACTGTAGAGTTTTCTAATTAAAACCTTTTATTTATACAAACGGGTGATCACAGGCCATCCGCGCCTTCCTGCTCCGCCAAGGTCGCGCCCGGCCGTGCCCCGTCCTCGTGGGCCTGCTCCGCCGAGGTCGCGCCAGGCCGTGCCCCGTCCTCGGCCTCCAGCAGACGCTCCTGGATCTCCTGCTCAGCCTCGGCCCTGGGGAAGCCGCACGCTGGGAACCGAGACCCAGAAGGACCCCTCCTAGCCACCCCGCCCACCCCAGCAGAGCGGGCAGTACCTCTGGCTGCGGAGCTGGGCCTCGGCCAGTATGTAGGGTGGCAGGGGATCCAGGGAGGGCTGCAACAGAGAGCTGACGTTGGTGCCGGGGCTGCGCAAGCACAAACCCAGGCCAGTGCCCACCTGCCCCCTTGCGCGGGGGAGAGGCTTCCACTCACCAAGTCCTTCATATTCACACGGCAGCCATAGCACAGCTGCTCCATCACGCAGGCGCGGGGGTCGTCCTCCTCCCTGCGGGAGCAGAAGGCTCAACGAGGGCCCGAGGGCACCCCTCCCCTGTGCAGCCGCGAGGTGCCGACCATGGCGGGTGGGGCTGACAGGACAAGGCAGGGACTCACATCCTGCAGCAGTGCTGGGCCCTGCCCATCCCGCTGTGGCAGCAGGACACGGTGGGCGCCTCAGCCTCTGCGACGGGGGGCTGCGTCTGGGGGAGCTGCGAGGAGGTCTGGGCCCCAAAAGCCGTGGCACTGTCTGCAAGCAGAGAGGAGCTGAGGGGACCTCGGGGGCCGCGGAACCCCCACGCCCACTCGCCGGTGCCTCTCCCCTGGCACCCTGTGCAGGGACACACCAGCAGTGTCGACGTCCAGCACACACATGCAGAGCAGGCAGCGGGGCCCGGGGGTGCCGGCAGCACAGCCGTCCCTGGGCGCCTTCACCAGCTTCTCGCTCGTCCTGGGGGTGGGGGACAGGGCACCATCGGCTGGGGGGCTCCACTCCCTCCCAGGACCCCCTCCCGGTACCCACACACACCCACCTGTACACAGTGCTGACCGTGGAGGGGAACTGGGCCTGCAGCCTGAGAATGAAGGCCTCCATCAGCCGGTGGATGCTGGCCTTTTCCGGGGCCTGTGAGCAATGAGACGGGGGCTGGTCAGGGCCCGCTGAGAGCAGGGAGCACGGGCTTCTCTACAACACCAGCCCGAGAGCCTGCGGTGCAGCCAGCCAGGGCCCCTGCTCTTGAGCGTCCCTGTCGTTAGACAAAGCATCGCCGACAAATGTCAGGCTGCCCCACTGTCCCTCCCCACGTGCATGACCCCCAGCTGGGCACCCTCCTCCCTCGAGAGCCCCCCCTTCCCGGAGAGCATGACATGTGGCGCGGGCACCGCTGACCTTGGTGTCGACGGCCGGCGTGAAGACGGAGGGGACAGCAAACAGGCGGTTGTAGAAGGCGACCTCCTTCAGCGTGTGCTCGCGCATGGGCCGCACCACCACTACGTCGCCGTGTCGCTCGTCTGAGAAGCCCTGGGGGCGGGGGACACAGCGTTCCCTGCCGCCTGCAGCTGACCGGCTCACAGCACCCCCTCCCTCCCTGCCAGCTGGGGGGGTCACGGGCTCCCCCCGCCTCGCGGGCAACCCGACTCAGGAGATGCCGCGTCAAGAGAAAGGGGCCAGGAGGGTGGGGACGGGGCCCTGGGCAGCTGCAGGCGCACCGTGTCCCAGGCGAGGAAGGCCCCTCTCCCCAGTGCCAGGCTGGTCATGAGCTTGACGGCCAAGCGGGTGCAGCTGTCCCCCGTCATCACCTTGGAGTAGCCGTGGGTCCGGGCCACATGCAGGATCAAGTGGGTCCTGCAGGGCAGGGCAGGGGGTCTCAGGAGCCCAGGTAGGGTAGGCCCAGAACTCCGGGGGGCAGGGGGGAGAGGGTCTCAGGACCTGGGTGGGAGGAACAGGGCTGGCACCCTGGGGTGGCAGGGAACTCACCGCAGCGTCTGCAGAAGTTCCTCCTTGGCCGTCAGCGTCTTCACTGAGTTGAAGAGTCTGGACAGAGCCTCAGTCTGGCCGGCTGTGGGCGGCCCAGCCCGGCCCTGGGGGTGCTGGGGGCAGGGCCGGCTCTGCTTCTCCTCCCCCAGGGCATGGTGCTGCTGCAGGAAACTGTCCACGGCCGCCTTGTAGGCTCCCTCGGTCCCCACCGGCTCCCGGGCAGAGCAGCGCAGCACAGACGGCGGCAGGCTGAACACCTTGTGTGTATTTAGGGGGAGGGAGGGCGTGAGGGCCAGCCCACCCCACGTGGGGAAACAGGCTGGCGCCCCTCTTGGACACCCAGCAGTCACCCCGGGGCGCTCTAGCAGGGACAGCCTGCCCACCTCTTCCAAGGCGACGATGTGCCACGGGAAGCCGACGGTCTGCAGGACCAGCTTCGCCTCGGCCAGGGTTTTTGCTCGGTCCTCCGGGCTCCGGCCACAGGCTGCTCCCTCTGAGAACCGCAGGCAGAAAGGAGAGCAAGGTCAGGGCCAAGGCCATTGCACCCTGGAGGGCAGCAGTCTCTGGACGCTGACCTGTGTCCTTGCAGGTCGTTTTCAGAGTGGCTGGTGGGTTCTCTGTTTTGGTTGGGGAAAAAAGGGGGGCAGAGAAGGGCAAAGAACTCGCCCTTCTCACTCAGTGCCCTTGACCCCATGACAGACGCCAGGCAGATGCTCCCGCCCAAACCTGGACGGTCTGAGATTTAAGACGGCAGCGGTGCTGCCTGTCGAACACGGGCATCATCTCGAGAGAAACGCCCCCACCAGGGCTTTGTGTGGGCACAGCGCCAGCCGTCAGTGGGCCCAACCGAGCACCACGGCCCAGGAGAAGCAGCGACACGTACCATCGGCGAAGACAACCCCTGGCACGAAACGCAGTCTCTTGGCAGAATCTTGACTCAGGCCCTGGGGTGGACATGAAAGGGCCTCAGGTCCACAGCCAGGCGCTGGACAGAGCCGGGGCGGGCCGCTGCTCTCACAGCCTCCGGCCAGGGCTAGGGGACCAGGAGGCGAGCGCAGAAGGCCAAGCACAGAAGCGCTGTGCTGAAGCCCTGGGCCGCCTCCCGTTAGCCCTGGTACAGACCGGCCCACAGCCCCTCACAGAGCCCAGGGAATCCGTGCGTGTCCCACGCGGGCCAAGGCCTCCGACGCCCAAGCTGAGCCTGCCGGGCGCCGCCCCCAAGCCCCCTGCCAGTCTCCGCCCTGCGCCCCTCCGCCACCCGGCCGCGCCCCGGCTCCTCTGGGTCTCCCCTCAAACTTCTCAGGGAAGCCACCCTGCCCCCCGCCAGAACCAGGCCCTCTAGGCCCCCGAAACGCCTGCTCGTTTCACCGTCCTGACACACCACCAGGACTGCGGGGAGGGCCCTGGGCCCCGGGACACTCTGAGGGGCGCTCTGGCGTGGCACACACGGCTTCCCAGCAACGTGCTTCTAACGCAGTCCAGCAAAGGGAAGGGGTGCTAAACCGGGAAATGGCTGGCACTCTGGACACCACTTCGGGGGCCTGTGCCTCTTGTGCACACGTCCCAGAGCCCTCGGGTGTCCTAGCTGGGGAGTGGGCCTTTCCCCCCAGCCCCAAGCAAGAGCCCCTCAGTGCCAGCCCCCCACCCTGGAGCTCGACCGGGCACAGCCTGGGTGCAGGACGGTGTGCAGGCGTACCTCAAGGACCTGCCAGAGCATGGAGCTGGACGAAGGCCCCCCGGACCACGCCAGGAGCACCTGGGGGAGAAGGAACATCACCGGAGGCACTGCGCCCCCAACATGCCCCAGCCCCGCCCACGGACGTCAGGCCACCCCCCAAGTGCAGGCGTGAGGGAGGCGGCCGGGACAGGCCACCTGCGGGGGGGGGGGCGCCACACCCACCTTCTCCCCCGGGAAGACCAGCCGGTTCTTTCCAAGCACGGCTCTGAACTTGTGGACGTAAAAGACCTTGAAACAGTCCCTGCAACACAGAGCAGCAGCAGCTGCGGCAACACCGCCCAGGCCACCCGCCCGCCGAGAGGATGGGGAAGCTGTCCACCCCTGCCTCGTGGAAGGACAGCCTAACGCTCCGCCGGGTTACGTTCTCTTCTGGCAACTTCCACCCTTAAAGCACTGTCTTGACGTCAAGGCTGCGCCCAAAGACTGGCAAGGGGAGCCAGGGGTGAGGGGTTCTCACCAACTGTGGCTGCCCCAGGATGGGCCTCACATCACACTGGAAGGCCCGCTTGGGTCACCCCCAATTCTCACCACTGTGAACTGCAGCTACTCAGGCAGGCCCAGCTGGCGGAAGGGATGGAAGGGCATGCACGGGGCAAGGCCACCCTGACCCTTCCCTAGGCAGAGTAGCTGACCCCTTCCAAGACCCCCGTGGGGAGGCACTGAGCAGGCTGTGGGGTCAGGGGACTAGCGTCCTAAAGCCCCACACTGGCCTCCAGAAATGCCCAGGAGGCTCCCACAAACGCGGAGAACCATAACTTCAACAGGGCCTGGGACTCTGCATTCTTGGCCAGCCTTCCAGCTGAGCCTGGGGCTCACCAGGTCAGAGGTTCTTAGCCTTGGCCGCACATGAGAATCACTCAGGCCGACCACGTCAGGATGTATCAGGTGAGACCCAGGCACCCACGTTTAAAAGCTCCCCAGGGCAGCTCCCTGGCGGTCCAGCAGTTAGGACTCGGCGCTCTCACTGCCGTGGCCCGGGGTCCACGCCCGGTTGGGGAACTAAGATCCCGCAAGCCGCAAGGGATGAGAAGAAGGGAAGGAAGCAAGGGAAGGGAAGGGAAGAGAAGGGAGAAGAGGGAGGGAGGGAAAATAGAAACAAAGAAACAAAGACTTCCCTGGTGGTCCAGTGGGTAAGACTCCACGCTCCCAATGCCGGGGGCCTAGGTTCGATCCCTGGTCGGGGATCTAGATCCCACATGCCGCAACTAAGAATCCACATGTGGCAACTAAAAAGTCCACATGCCACAACCAGGAAGTCTGCATGCTGTAACAAAGATCCCGCATGCCGCAACTAAGACCCAGCATGGCCAAGATAAATTAACAAACGGTGAATATAAACAAAAGAAAGAAATGTAAGAAAAAAAGGAAAAAAGAAGAAAGGAAAGAAAGGAAAGAGAGAGACGAAAAGACAGAAAGATGGGAAGGAAGGAAAGGAGAAATAGAAGAGAGAGAAAAAAAGAGAGAGAGAAAGACAGACAGAGAGACAGAAAAGAAGGAAGGAAAGGAAAAAAGGGAAGAAAGGGAAAGGAGAGAAAGGAAGGAAGAAAGAGAGAGAGAGAGAGAGAGAGAGAGCGCGCGCAAGCTCGCTCCCCAGCAGGCAGCCAAGGTGGACAACAGTGCGGCGCAGCAGGGAGCGGAGCGGCCCCAAGCCTGGGGCTCTGCCCCCATATCTATTTCCTTCTTCCTGTACGCACGTGCTGGTATCACAGCAGTCCCCCCAACCCCGAGCAGGCACCACTTACGAAATGCCGACCAAACACCCCGAGGCACCTCTGTGGATGGTAACTCAACTGGGTTTTAGCAGCAAATCACTGGGGCTCCGGGACCCCAGGAGACCAGCCGTGGGAGTGACTCCTGGAAGTCCGGGCCCGGGAGGCCCCTCAAGCAGACACAGATGCTCGCGGCGGCGCCGAGGACCCCGCGGCGGCTGCGCCCACGTCTCCCCAGCACCACCAGGCTCCTGCAGCCACACGCGCCCTGTGGGTCGGGCCAGGCCAGGGCTTCCGACACGCTGAGCCTCTCCGTCACTGAGGAAACTTGCTCAAAACCTAGCTTGCAGAACCTGCACCCTGGAAAATCAGCCTCCCGTCTCTTCCCGGGACTCGGCAAGCGGGGGAGGGGGAGCTCTGGGCCCAGCAGGAGTCGCTGCAGCCTGTCTTCTTATCTGTGAGTTCTCCAAACAGACTGGAGAGTTCATTGTTTCTAGATGCTCTTACGTGCTTAAAGCGGTGACTTCCTTGCCTAAAACGTACTTCCTGATGGCACACACCAAGTCTACTAGGCCCCCCAAAGACGGGCAAGCATGCGAGAATCCAGGGAAAACAACTTATTCCGTCCCTTCGGTTTCTCTTCCGGAAACTTTTAGAAAGCAGAGTCCAGTACTCTGGAAGACCAATTTAAAAATGTGAGCCCATCACTCATTCAACATGCATTCACTCGCTATACAAAGCATGCAATGTCACCAGAAATTCATAGGTATAAAACGGGAGACAGGCCCTGCCCTTGTGGAGCTATGAATCCAGTGAACGTGATCAGACACTGGAAGTTATGATTCAAGGGCGATGTGGCAGGGCCACAGAGAGCTTCAGATAAAACCGAATATGCTCAGGCCTCTCTGGGAATAAGCCCCTGCTGTCCAAAGGTCCTCCCAGAGCTGGGAGAAGACTACAGCCCGCCTTCCATCTCTCTCTCTCTCTCTCTCTCGCAAGTCAAACAGCATCATGAAGAACACCTGCCAGAGACCCCAGGATGCTCCAATCTGCCCCTATATGCGTTCCAGCTGCCCCAAAGAGCTCCTCCCGCACACCACGCTCCACGTTCACTCCCAACTCTCCCCGTAAGCTCCATCAATACCTTCCTGCCACCTGACCAATGGCTGGATGTTGGGAGAATGGCATTCACACAAGAAACCTGCACACACACAGACACGCCAGCAGGATGTTAGAAGCAGGAGTAAAGTGGTAAGATGCTTTCAAAAGCAAGAAACAAAGCCACAGGACTTCCGTGGTGGCACAGTGGTTAAGAATCCGCCTGCCAATGCAGGGGACACAGGTTCAAGCCCTGGTCCGGGAAGATCCCACATGCAGCGGAGCAGCTAAGCCCGTGTGCCACAACTACTGAGCCTGCGCTCTAGAGCCCGTGAGCCATAACTACTGAAGCCCACGTGCTACAACTACTGAAGCTCGTGCACCTAGAGCCCGTGCTCTGCAACAAGAGAAGCCACCGCAATGAGAAGCCTGCGCACCGCAATGAAGAGCAGCCCCCACTCACCGCAACTAGAGAAAGCTCGTGCGCAGCAACAAAGACCCAACACAGCAAAAAATAAATAAAAAATAAAATAATTTTTTTTTAAAAAAAACAAAGCCACAGATATGGGGGCAGTACTGGTTACTGAGTGAAACCGCGTGTACCAGGTCGCCTGCCACCTCCATGCCTCACCTGCAGAAGGCATCTCCGGCTCGGATCACCACGACAGGCAGGCCTTCCTTGCACTTCACACACTTTTGCTCACGGCTTGAGACGTGGGCGGGGGGGAGGAGGGGAGAGAACAGGAACACAGGTTACAACCCTCTCCCGGGGGCTTCAAGGAGACCGTAGCCTGTTTCTCACCCCAAACTGTTGTACGAGGTCACTGGGACCCGGGGCGGGGGGGGGGGGGGAACCACACAAACCACGGCTTGTATCTTATCCAAACTACCACTGTGGGGAAAGACCAGGGCCCTGGGGAGATTTCAGTCTGTTAAAGCCAGCTCAGTGGGCTCAATCTCTCAGGGGCTGGCACAAGTACAGAGTCAACTCGCTCTCTGCGGCCCTGGAAGGGAGAAGTGGAGCCAGCGAGTAGAAGAGACAGGGAGGCCGACTTTCCTCGCCTCCCTGTAAGGACAGCTTGGTCAGGGGCGAAGCCGTCCCACTGGCTGCAAGAATTAGAGGTGCGAGAGCGCACAGTGTTTACCACGGGCTTGCCAGGCACTCTCCGGGAGCTGCGGAGTGAGGTCCAGCCCCGACCTGAGGTTCCGGGGCTCCTGGGCCCCTCCCTCGGCGGTCTCCTGGCTTCCCGGGGCCCTGAGCGTAAAGCGCGGGCCGGCCCCTCGGGGCAGGGCTCGCCGTCCGCGGGAGCGCCGGAAAGAAAGCGGCGAGTGCGGCCGTCCAACTCTTACCAGGGCCGTGGCGGCGGCGGCCCCGCGGGCGCGGGCTCCCGATAGTCGTCGCCCACCTCGCACATGGCTGCTCCGTGTCACGGGGCGGCGGCGGCGGCGGCGCGCCCCGACTACATCATCAAGGCGCCGGCGCGTCCCTGACGCGCGGGCGAGGGGAGAGCGCTCCCTATGACGTCATCCAGGCGCCGGCGCGGCCGTGACGCGCAGGCCGGGGGGCGGGCGCTCCCTATGACGTCATCCCGGCGCCGGCGCGGCCGTGACGCGCAGGCCGGGGGCGGGCGCTCCCTATGACGCCAACTCGGAGCCGGCGCGGCCGTGACGCGCAGGCCGGGCCGGGCCGGGCCTGGCCGGGACAGGGGCGGCGGCGGCGGGCCGGGCCCCGGGGATGGCGATGTTCCGCAGCCTGGTGGCCTCGGCTCAGCAGCGGCAGCCGCCGGGCGGGCCCGCGGGCGGCGACAGCGGCCTGGAAGCGCAGTACAGCTGCCCCATCTGCCTGGAAGTCTACCATCGGCCCGTGGCCATCGGCAGCTGCGGACACACGTGAGTGCGCCGGCCTCCGGGAGGCCGCGGGGTCGGGCGCCGCCGCGGGGAGCGCTCTGCAGCCGCCTCGGCGCGCGAGGACTCGGGGGGCGCGGGTCTCCCCGCGCAGGGCCGTTTCTGCCCTCTGGGCGCGTCCATCCCCCTCAGCCCATCATCCTGCCCGCCCGTCCGCCCACCCCGGGCTCTCGATCCGATCACCCCGTCGGCAGACAGGACCGACCTGCAACCCTGCCCGATCTCTAACGGGCAGTGCCCGGGGCCGCTGACGGCATAGATGAGCCTCCCCGGGGACTCACAGGGCAGCGGGCACGACCTCTGCGCCGGTCGCCTTCCATCTGGTCCCGTGGAGACTGCGGTGGGCAGTTGTGAATAAATGCCTTGTGCCTTTTGCCGTCAACTCTGTTTTGGACCCGCTGTCTGCTTGTCTTGACTGCAGAAGAGAGGAGTTCCCTAAAGTTTGGGCAGGGGCTTGTTTGGAGTCTGGTGCTGTTTTGTTCTGTTGGAGAACTTGGGTCACATCGATCACTGAGCAGCCAGGCAGGCTGGCCCTCGGGGGACCAGATGCCACACATCTTGCTAGGGTTTCCGGCTGTGCCAGGGCCGGGTTGTTTCAGGAACAGAAACCTGAGGATGTGGCTCTCCTCCCAGCCAAGTGCTGCACTCAAGGCTTCTGGGAGCTGCCAGCCTGTTTGGGAGGGGGCTGAGATCAGGGTGTCGGCTCTCCAACTCTCTGGAGTGGCTGAAAAATACAGCTCTTGAGTGAAATTAGCAGGGTGGGGAGAGGGGGCAGGAGGGCTTGGCTGCCAGCAGAGTTGCTGAGGAGGTGGGGCCGAGATTCACCCAGGCTCGGTCTTTGAACGTTTTGCAAACAAAGGCAGATGACCTGGAAGGTTCCTGATACAAAGGGGGAGTTGCAGCTGCTGGGTGTGTGTGCTGCTCATCTCACCCAGGGAGGTGGCAGGAACCGTGTCAGGAGCCAGCAAGCCTTCACACACACACACACTGGCAGGCAGCACAGGGACCTACCTGCCCACACTGGGAGAGCACTGCTGATTTGTCCTGAAGGCGCTGCGCCTCACTCTTTCATGCTGTGTGTGGCGTTTCGGCAGGGGCAGCCCCTGCACAGCACTTCTCTTGTCAGCACACAGCAGTGGGTGTTGTCAAGTGTGTTCAGCTTCTTCCAGCCCATCCCTGGGAGAGCTGTAGCGATTGTCCCAGGCCCAACTTTAGAAAGCCTTTCCCGGGCTTCGGGTTGTATCAACACTCACCCAGCCCTGGGCTGCGGTGTTTCGGGCCTCTGGTCAGCACGAATCTGGTTTCTATTTTTCCAAATAAGTCTTTTCTTAAAAGGTGGTTTTCAGAATACAGAAATACACAAACTGCTGTGCAAGCATATTCTTCTATAAACCCCGCTTCCCGGTGCTCTTCTTGGCAGAATCTGTCCCCTCTTCTCCTGTTTCTGAGGCTGGTCCTGCAAGAGCCTCTTCTTCAGCTTCTGCCTTAAAAAGACTTTCTCCCTGGCTCTACCTGCTGGTGCAAACAAGCCTCCTGGCTGTTCCGTCTCTGCCTCTTACCTTCCATAAGTTCCTCTTCCGGTGTTTTGAAGGCATGTGTGCAAATGAACATGAAAGATTTGAAGACTCACATCTCTCCTTCTAAAAAGTTTGTCGGTGGTCTGGTTATCCACCCCTCGCCCCCACCCCCAGCTCCCTAACTGTAGCAGTCTCCTTTCACCAAATAGGTTTTCTGGAGGTGACAGCAGCCCTGCCAGGGGCCGGGACTCATGCTCCAGCACGAGACATAAGGGGACAGGTCATAGGGAGGGCTTTTGAGCAGGAGCCCAGAGGCAGGAGGTGCCTCTGTAGAGAGTGTGGAAGCGCTCCCGTGAAGTCCCCAGGGCCCCAGACAGAGCCAGTGATCTGCCATACTTAGGGGACGGCCTGGGCAGTGAGCCACATCCGGAACCAGAAGCTGCCCGGCTGTTTCTTTTTTTTTTTATAAAGGAATTCAGCCTTGTATGGCTTCCTCTTTTTTTAAAAAAAAAAATTTATTTATTTTATTCATTTTTGGCTGCGTTGGGTCTTCATTGCTGCACGCGGGCTTTCTCTAGTTGTAGCGGGCAGGGGCTACTCTTCGTCGCGATGCGTGGGCTTCTCATTGCAGTGGCTTCTCTTGTTGCGGAGCATGGGCTCTAGACACGTGGGCTTCAGTAGTTATGGCACGCGGGCTCAGCAGTTGTGGCGCACAGGCGTAGTTGCTCTGCAGCATCTTCCCGGACCAGGGCTCGAACCCACATCCCCTGGATTGGCAGGTGATTCTTAACCACAGCGCCACCAGGGAAGCCCTGTCCAGCTGTTTCTGACCCTCTGATGAGGCCTCCCTGAGGGCCAGTGTTTGGTTCTGCCAGGGCTGCCTCCAGCCTCTGTACCTCTGTCCTGAACGGAGCACGCCTTCGGGGTCCTCTGAGCGCCAGCATCCAGCTGCGCCGCGCTCCCTCTGGGCTGAGGGGTGTCCCGTCGTAAGGATCGGCCACCTCCTGTGTGTCCCTCGCCCGTCAGTGGACACTGGGCTTCTCCACAGCTCTCGTGACCGGCGCTGCCGTGAGCGCTCCTGTGCGGATTTTCCCCCGGCCTCCCGTGGGGACCATGGAGCCACCACTTTCTTCCAGTGACAGGGTGGCACGCGAGGCCTGCCCCGGCTGTGAGGCCAGTGAGAGGGACGGCCCTGGAGGACTTGCTGGAGCACTACGGGGTGGGCACTGCTGGTAGTGCCTGGTGGGCCCTCGACAGGTGCGGAAAGTGACAGGTGCGCAGGAACAGGGTGTCAGGAACCCTGCACTTTCTGATGGGCCTCAGGCCCAGCCTGGCCTTTCTTGTGTGCAAACAGTGACACCCACGGTGACGACCCAGTGGTGGCTGTTGGGAAGCCAGCGTGTAGGAGGACGGCCTCGGGATCACCTGCGGCTGCCTCTTCCTAAAATGAGGTGAAAGTCTGAGGCAAAAGAACAGGGACCCCTGAGCTCAGGTGAGCCGCAGGCCCAGCCTGCTAGACGCACGCAGAGCGGTGCATACCCCGACACCTCGTGGGTTTCTTGCAGGCCGCCAAGTTGCCACCTTTCTCTTGGGGCTGAGCGCGTGCTCTTCTGGGCCGTGGAGCCTCCGCTCCACGGCTCCCGTCTGCTAAGCGGTCCCCTTGGCGCTTCCTGCAAAGGTGGACCGAGCTGGTCCTGCGGTCAGGCTCCTGGCCCTTCGTGCCCCCACTGAGAGTGTTCGAGCCGCTGCCCCACTGCCCATCGGGCGGTGCACGTTCTTCTGCGGCACTGGGGTGTTTGTAAACACCAGCTGCTGGGGCCAAGCACACACGGGTGCCGGGACTGTGCCTCACGACGTGGCGTCTCCACGGACACGGCCAAGGGCCGAGCTAGAGCCCTTCTTGCCGGGGAGAGGGCACTGTCCCAAGGCTGGTGACACCCCCTGGCCAGCTTTGGCCCTGCTCCATGCAGTGAGTCCTGCGGTTTCCTCTCACCACTGTTAGTGATTTCACTCCCCAGAGTTTCGTGGGTAGAGGGTCTCCAGGGTCCCCCAAGATGTCCTGGAGTCCCCTGAGGTGGCATCGTCACCGCTTGGCAGTGAGACGGACAGGTTGGGCCCTGGGCCTCCTGCAGCCAGAGCTCTTGCTGGGACCAGGGCTGCGGGGCCAGCATGGGACCTGGGGGGCGGGGGTCACAGCTGCAGCTCAGCCCTCATCGCAGAATCGGCAGGAGTGTCCCAGAAGCCCACAGCTGGGCAGCGACCTGGGTCATCTTCTGGACAGACGGTGCCCATTCAACCCGTAGGACCCTGGCCCAGAAGCTACTGCTGATGGAGGGGAGCGCAGCCCTCAGGCCCACGTCTGCCCTGCAGGTTCTGCGGGGAGTGCCTCCAGCCGTGTCTGCAGGTGCCATCCCCCCTGTGCCCACTGTGCCGCCTGCCCTTCGACCCCAAGAAAGTGGACAAGGCCGCCCACGTGGAGAAGCAGCTTTCGTCCTACAAGGCACCCTGCCGGGGCTGCAGTAAGAAGGTACCGCAGCCTGCCTGGCCCGGGGGGCTCCGATGGGCTCGCAGGGGAGCTGGGCAGGGGCCACGTCCCTTCCCTGTTGGGCAGCCCGCCGCTCCACTCGCTTCCTGCGGGCTCTGCATGTGGCCTGGGCTCCGGGCTGTGGCTGGCGCAGGGACACAGGCTGAGCTGAGCCCACCCTGTCCCGGCACCCGCTGCCCGCTCAGGCGGGCACACCACTTTGTGGGGGACCCAGCCCGGGAACGGAGTTTGAACTTAGGCTTTCAGATTTTGCCATCGCTCGGGTTAACGAGTTCTTCTGAGTTATCACAGTAGGCAGCAGCCCTGTTGCTTTGTCCTCGAGGTCGAAGGTCAGACTGTCCAGGGGCCACCGTGAGCCCACTGTGAGGGGCTGCCGCGGCCTCCTGCAGGCGCACGTGCCCCTCCCTCCCGGCATGAGAGCGGAGCAGGCTGTCGGCCCTTGTGTGAGGCGGCCCCCACCCTTGGCCTCGTGCGGCCCGGGTGGCAGGCTTGCTCAGTGTCCCAGCCCTGGGCAGAGCCGGGGGCGGGCCGGCGTCAGGAGGGCCCCTCGAGGCGGAGCTGCCCCGCCTGCTCCCTCTCGGCCTCCGCAGTTCTGGGAACTAGGTTCCTGTGTGCGCCACCGCCACCGGGAGGGCTGCCGGGCGTCCTCCCCGGGTCGTTCCGCCTGCTCTCTGCGCCGGCACCCCTCCCCTGCCCTGTGCTGAGCCGCTTCCCACCTTCGGCCAGGACGGCCACTCGGGCAGCCGAGAAGGTTGTATCTTGTTCCGTTTCCTACCTCTTGGTAAAGGATTTGCTGGACGTTCGACTGTCCAGAATTTTGCCTGCTGGCTCCCGTTACAAAGGGTATTTTTTCCCAAATAGACACCCTCCCTGTCCCCTCGTGGGCCTCCCTCGCCTGCAGCTCCCCAGGGACCAGAGGCCTACTGCCCCCCGCATGGCCCCATCGTGAAGCCGTGAGCGCCTGCTTCTGGGTGCGGATCTGCAGCCTTCGGGGTCCTGAGTCTGTGTCTCCCTCACTCGGCCTCTGGGCCCCACTTGCGCAGCGCTGCCGGGCCGCGGCATCGGGAGCCAGAGGCCCAGCCCTGCTGCCTGCCCCTCCCCTCCTCTCCTCCCCAGGTGACACTGGCCAAGATGAGAGTGCACGTTGCCTCCTGCGTGAAGGTCCAGGAGCAGATGGCCAACTGTCCCAAGTTCGTCCCTGTGGTGCCCACGTCCCAGCCCATCCCCAGGTAGGCCGCCTCGCCGGGGCCCCCTCTGTGGGGCAGCTCCGGGCCTACCTCGCGGGGTGGACAGTGGGGCCCCACCCTGAGGAGGTGGGAGGGCTGCCGGCGGAGGGCCTCGCCCCCTGCGGGTAGGGGACCCCAGGAGGGCCCAAGCCAGGCCCCCACGGCTCACCTCCCAGCAGGGATGCACGGTCCCCAGACAGGCTGGGGCTGGACAGACACCTCCTCTCAGGGTGGGCAGCCATGTCGGGGAAGCAGGCGGCCCGGGGTTAGGTGGCGGGAGGTCGCGGTGGGATGTGCAGACGGGGGCAGAGCCCCGCGGCAGCTACGGCCCACAGGGCAGGGGAGGGCGAGCCGGCCGGGCTGTAGGAAGGTGGGCAGTGCCACTCACCCCCACCCCCGCCCCAGTGCCGTCCCCAACAGGTCCACCTTCGCCTGCCCTTACTGTGGTGCCCGCAACCTGGATCAGCAGGAGTTGGTGAAGCACTGCGTGGACAGCCACCGCAGCGACCCCAGCCGCGTGGTGAGCACGCCCGCCCGCCCGCACGCACGCCCGCCCGCACGCCCGCCCGCCCGGGCCCTGTAGGCTCACCGGCCTGCTCTATCCCAGGTGTGTCCCATCTGCTCAGCCATGCCCTGGGGCGACCCGAGCTACAAGAGCGCCAACTTCCTGCAGCACCTGCTCCACCGGCACAAGTTCTCCTACGACACCTTCGTGGTGGGTGCCCTCCCCTCCCCTCCCCTCCCCTCCCCCTCCCCCGGTGCCAGTGCTGGGTAGGTCCACGTGGCCACTAGAGGCCCGGGGGCTCTGGGGCTGTGCAGACCAGGCCCACAGCGGCCCCCTGTCCTGCGGGTCCCTCACCGCTGGGCCAGCGAGCTCTCCTCACGCAGGGCCTCCTCTTGGGGAGGCGCCGTCGCAGGGCCACCATCTCCCCAGCTCTGCACCAGGGCCTCGGCACACAGACCCCTCCACGGGGGTCTGGCTCTTCCTCTCCCTCTCCTACCTGCGGTTCCCACCTGCAGACCCTCCTGCAGGCCCTTCCCTCCCGTGCACCCCCAGCCCTGCTATTCTCGTCCCCCGCCAGCCTCCAGCCTCCAGGCGCCAGACCCTGTGGAGTCGACCCCTCCGCTCCCTCCGCCTGTGCCTGGTCCCGATGGGTGGATGCCACGGGGATCCCTGGCTTCTCTGCTCATCTCAAGCCCCGTTCTTGAGTCTGAGGAGAAAGGACAGCTCCGATTCCGGGTGTCCAGCCCACGCAGTCCGCCCAGCCCTCAGTCACTGGGCGCGGTGGCCTCCGGGCAGCCAGACCATCCCCGCAGCGCAGTTGCCGCACAGCGCCTGGGACCCCGTGACCGTGCGGGGCCGAAGGGGGGCGGGGAGGCTGGACGCGGCAGAGCCGGTCTATTTGAGGTGACAGGACCAGGGCCAGGGGGGTCGCTCTGGGAGGCCCTGGCCTCCCTGGCCCAGCTCCACTCCCTGTCTTCCAGGACTACAGCATCGACGAGGAGGCCGCCTTCCAGGCCGCCCTGGCCCTGTCTCTCTCCGAGAACTGAAGGCGTGGCCACTGGCCCAGGCCTCCCGCCTCAAGGGACATGCCCCGCCAGCTCCTGCGGCCCAGGCCTGCCTGGGAAGGCGCCTTGAGGGCCAGGTGGAGCCTCACTGCTGCAGGAGGAGAGGCCGCGTCCCTGTCGCGCTGAGCAGGTGGCCTCGGGGGGCCGGCCACTGGGATGGAGTGTGGCCACTGTGTCTCAAAGCCATGATGTCCTCCCTGCAGAGAGGACCCTTCAGGCCCTGCCGCGTCCACAGGCCCCCGCACTGAGCAGGGAAGCGCGGAGGGGGCCCCGGCCCAGCACCTGGCAACGCCTCCCCATCGCGTGCTCGGTACTGGCTTTTATGATTCCTAGAGGTTCCACACTTTTCTATATTATCCGGTGTGATGACCTTTTCACATTTTCTAGAGCACAGACAGAGCAGTTGCCCTTCATATTGCAATATCCGTGTCTGACTAGGAATAATAGTATTTTTATGGAACATTTACAGAATTATATTTTTTAAAAAAACAATAAAAAACGAACGGTTGTGGGATGGGGAGGAGAGGAGAGACGGGGCAATCGCTGTGTGCAGGGACCGAGGTGGCCACGTCCCCAGGTCACCTCGCTGTTCCCCAGGGTCACTGGGATAATCACGGGAAGAAATCGCAACGCCCAGCCACTTGCAGCGGCGCTGTGTCTGCTCCTGGCCTCCCGCCTGGGTCTTGGCCTCGGCCCTGCTGTCCCTGGTCCAAAGCCGACCACCTCGCGCCCCCAGCAGGGCCGCCCCGGCAGTGGCAGAGTGCGGGGCCGGGGCAGTGACCAGAGCTCACAAGACGCTCATCGGCACCCTCGTTTGGCTCGTGGCATAAATTATTGCTGTCTTTAAAAAAAATTTAAATAAAATGTCTCAAAGCATCTCCAGCGACCTGGCTGGTGCGTCTCCTTCAGTGAATACTAAAGGCAGAGGGCTGAAGCGCGGCCACCGGACCGTCCTCCACTCGAGGTCCGCGGGCACGTGTCCGTCCCCAGGCAGCTCCGGCTCAGAGAGCAGCTGGCCTTGGAGCCCCGCAGAGGCCGTTTCCGCGTCTGGGGTGGGCTGGACTGCAGCCCCTGCTGGTCCTGCCCGCCCCCTGGACCCTGTTCCCCTCGACCTGTGCCCTCACTTGCCGGCCTGGCCACCTACCCTGCGACAAGCTCAGGCCAAGGTTTGCTGGGCTGCGACGCTCACCTCCTCGTCCTGGGACGGGGTCCACCTGAGGCCGGCAGGCTGGGCACCGTCCTGAGCTTCCCCGGCCGGGGTAGTCTGAATGGGGCTGGTGCTGGGGCCCAGAGGTGGCCATGGTGGCCTACAGGTGGCCTTTTGGATGCCATCGGGGTGAAGCCCCACTATCCCCACCCCGGTCCCCGTGCCGCAGCCGCTCTCCCCACTGCTGGCTCGAGGCGTGCCTCTGCCTCCCCGGGCAGCCTGCCTGGTGCCCCAGCATGTGCCCTCAGCCCCCAGGCCGGCACCTGGCCCTCTGAAACATCCACCCAGGGACGGTGGTCTCGGGCCACCATCAGTGCCACGGGCCCCTGCTGTTCCCAGTCGCCACAGGCCTTTAAAAGCTGACGAGAATCACCTGCTGGGCTGTGCCCAGGTGGCAGGTCATCAGGGTAAGGCCAAGCCCCTGCCTCGCTCTCCGTGTCTGCCCCCCACGCAGTGTTCCAGACCCTTCCTCTATGGAGAAGCTGGATCTTGTGAGCTCGACCGTGGCAGGGCTGGGCAAGCAAAAGTCTCCACGAGAGAAGAGTTGTGACCTGGGGTGCGTTACCCCGCTTTAGAACCCTTCGTAGGAGCCACTGGCCCACCCTCCCCTCTGACCACTCTGACCCCACCGGCCGAGGATGCCACCTGCCAGTCTGTCCTTTCTGCCGCCTTCCAGAAGGAGGCCCGTGACATGGTCCCTGGGGGGCCACCTGGGCCCAGCCTCAGCCTCCCTCAGGGCTAATGGGAAAGGAAGGATGTGGCTGAAGTCCCCCTCCTGCAGGAGGATGGGGGAGCTGGGACCTCGGCCACCAGGGAGGTGCACCTCCTGCCCTGCCCTGCCGACCAGCCTGCCAGCACACGGCCCCCAACTGCAAACTCCAGGCCACATTCCCGGGCCTCACCGAGCGGGGAGAGGGATGAGGGCCCGTCAGCACCCAGGGGAGCTTCAGGGTGGCCTCGGCCAGTCCCCTGGGGCCTGGAGCCAGTGGTGGCAGCGCTGGGACAGCCAGGCTCCAGATGCCAGGTGGAGATGCCGCCCCGTCTCCTTTCCCCCACCCCCAGCTCAGCACCTCACTGCCCCATGACCCTCCCCTGCACCCGGCTGCCCTCCCCTTGTCCAGGACATGTTGCTTCTTCCCCCAGCACTGCCAGCACATCCCATCTGGGACATGCAGCGGCTGTGGTTCTGGGCTGTCACTCGGGCCCATCGCCCATCCCCAGCTAACCCTCCAGTCCTCAGAGCGCAGCTGGTACCAGCTGTCTGTCCACCACCTGGACACCGGCCAAGCCTGTCCGCTGCCCGCCCACCGCCTGGGGGAGGACGGTGCTACTCTCACACGCCCGTCACGACCCTCGGCGCCCACGGAGTCCTGGGGGCAGTTTCAGGGTTGTCTCGGCAGGTCCTGACCTCACCGGTGCCCTGAAGGAGGTGACGCCCAGTGACTGTCCCCACGCCTCACCCTGTGGAGGCCTCAGCGCCCACCATGTCACCACATCACCGAGGGCTCCTGGCCACAGTGGGGCCCCAGGGGGGGCGGAGCCAGGAGCGTCTTAAAGTTGCTGGACACCAGCACAGGCTGGTGGCTAGTCCCTTCCCCCGCCCAAGGATGCCTGCCAAGCTCAGCCCCCCCCAGGCGCCCCCAGAGGCCACGGAGGCCAAGAGCCACAGGGCAGCATCCACACGTGGCCTTGACCTCATCCCTTCCACCCTGGGCCCAGGACGCACGGGGCCCTGGGCACGCAGGCACGTGGTCGCTCGGTGACCTGGCGTCCAAGACGGATGCCAGGGCGGAGCAGTGGAGCGAGCCCCAACGCGGTGTGCGGCTGCGTGGGAGCTGGGTCGCGGCAGACGCCGCAGTGTCCGGCGAGGACACCTCAGGCTGAAGCCCGCGGGACGCCGCTCTGAGTCTGCATGAAAAGTGAGGTGGAGGTGGGAGGCCCGCACCCCAACCGACTCCAGGGCGTCCCTGACGGGAGGCTGCACACCCTCACCTCCCCAGTCACACAACGGCCTGGGGGGTCCGCACACACCCTGCCGCCTAGACGGCGCCCCCAGGTCCCTGGGAACCTGTGCCCTCGGCCATCAGGAAGGGGACAGGCAGCCAGCACTCCTGAAGGCAGGGTGCCCAGAGCATGAGCGCCTGCTCCAGGCCGCTCTCTTCACCAGCCTCAGGGCCCCCAAGGACTGGCCACAGGGGTCACCTCTGGGTCTTGCAGGAGCCGCGCCTCCGAGCTCTGGGCTCTGAGTAAAGAAGGGTGGACGGAGAGGCCAGGCGCGGCCATGCAGCCCCCAGCGGAGGGGCCTCCTGAAAGGCCCAGCCCCTCACGGGGGTTGCAGAGCAGCCCCGCCTTCAGGAAATACAAGTGTGCCCGGGGCCTGGCAGCCAACTGCGAACACGCGCGTCTACCCCATTTACCTCGTCCGGGGAGGCGTGGGGAGTCCACCTGCCGCAGAGGGCCAAGCCCACCCCTCACCCCTCGGGTGGGGCCTCGGGGTCCCTGTGACGCAGGGCCACCTCCTACCAGCTCGCTGCCCCCGTTCCACAGGGGAAGAACGAGGTTCTGAGCCCTTCGGACCAGTGGAGGGCCCCAGGGCCGCACCTCGACAAGCCCCCAGGCAGCCACGGGGCCTGAGGCCTGCGGTCCAGCAGGGAGGGCGCACCCTCGGGACACAGCGGGCGGGCGGACGGCGGTCCCCCGGTGCTGACGCCCAGGCCACGGCGCCTCCTTCTGGACTCTCACACACCGGGGCTCCCCACACCTACCTGCGAAACACGCTCCCAGGAAGGATCCTTGAACTCACTCACCACAAGGCAGCAGGGACCCACAGGCCCAAGGGCGCCACCACACAAGTGGGCCTGAGGCCATGTCCCCAGCGGCGCACAATCAACCCCTGGCAGCAAAGCTTCCGCGCCCAGCGTTCGTGGTCTGTGTCTGTGCTGCTCCCACCCCGCCGCCAGGGGCCGGGACCTGACCTGGAGGTGCCGGCGGGAGCTCCGGGGACATCAGGCCCCTTCCGGTCCCGGAGAAGGGAGCTGCACGGCCCGTGACCCTCCAGGCTCTCCAACAAGTTTCTGGGAACGAGGGCCCAGGACCACATGCAGACGGGGAAGAAGCTCCGGGAGGACGCTGTGGAGTTCGGAGCTGGGAACCGAGCTGTGCAGCAACAGACCCTCCCCTCTAGGCGCCGGGCTCACCCGCTGAAGCCTGACCGCTGTGTCGCACGGACAGCTCCTGCGACCTCACACGCACACACAGACGCGTGCGCATACCAGGGCGCAGACCTGCACACACGCACATACCCGAGGCTGACACACACGTACATCCCTCCTCAGCCCTCAGATCACCTTCCCGGGCTCAGCGTCTGGGACTCTACTGTGTGCCACAGCTGTGTGGGAAGGGTCAACGTCCCCTCCCTGAACCCCCATTTAAGAACCAAAATCACCTCTAACAACCAGGACCCAAGAGGGAACAGGCAGCTGTGAGCAGTTGTGAGTCCCCGTTCTGGGGGTGACCAAATGCACACTGGCCACCAATCTGACCACGTGCTGGGAGCTGGAGTACTGGGTCCACGACCGTGGACAGCAACGGGGATGCTCCAACGCAGGATGTCCAGCCACACCCACCCTCCCACAACAAACACACCACACACTGACACCGTGGGCACTATCACCACAGCGGGGGCCCCTGAGTCCTGGGACGGCCGAGTGCCAGCTTCAAGGCCCAGCTCTGAGCGCTATTCCGAGTCCCAGAGCCAGGCCCACCACGGGGCCTTTGTACCTTCACCCACGTGTCTATACTCGAGAGACCCCCAGGGGGGAGCGTGCCCGGGCCGCACTGTACGGGGGCTCCTGACGCTTTTCCATCTGGTCCGGCAGGCACTGCTGAGCCTCCGCCACGGACCCAACCTCGTGCAGGTGCTGTGAGGGAAGGAAGGCGGTTCCCACCTGGCAGGCCCTCGGGCTGCATCTAACAGGGAAGGGGCGTCCTCGCTGGGCCATGAAACCCAATTAGTAAAAAAACCATGTATACACCGATGTGTATAAAATTGATGACTAATAAGAACCTGCAGTATAAAAACAAACAAACAAAACTACCAGACGCAAAAGGATACAGGCGCACACGTACACACTACGCGGACAGCCAAGCACCATCGCCACATAAAGCCCAGAAAAAGAGCACAAAAACACACCCACAAAAAGAAAGAGGGGCTTCCCTGGTGGCGCGGCGGTTACGAATCCACCTGCCAATGCAGGGGATACGGGTTCGAGCCCTGGTCCGGGAAGATCCCACAAGCCGCGGAGCAACAAAGCCTGTGCGCCACAACTACTGAGCCTGCGCTCTAGAGCCCGCGAGCCACAACTACTGAGCCCACATGCCACAACTATGAAGCCCGTGTGCTAGAGCCCGTGCTCCGCAACAAGAGAAACCACTGCAATGAGAAGTCCGCGCACTGCAACGAAGAGTAGCCCCCCCTCGTCACACCTAGAGAAAGCCCCGCGCACAGCAACAAAGACCCAACGCAGCCAAAAAAAATTAAAGAAAGAAAGAAAACATCAACATAAGAGGAATTGTAACAATCTTACCTGGGCTCCGCTTGTTCAGTGTCTGATAGAGGCAGGCGGGCAGGTGGCCACAAGCCGACGTCGCCAAGTGTCAAGGGGAGACCCTGGGG